CTATGTTCACCTCCTAACTAGTCTAAATAAAGTCCCGAAGTCAAAAATTGTGTTCCACGGATTTCCATCTATAATGCTTTATTGACTGGACTACTGGGTGTTTTCTATGTATAATATGTATGTATTTCAAAAAAACAAAACAGTATATAAGTAGTATATCCGTTAAGCTAGCACCCATAACACAAGCATTAAGTTGCTTACTTTGGGGCTAGCTGGCGCTGTGTGAAATTGTCCAAAGATTTATTATTACTTCATAACACTAAGGTTCTGTTTTGTAGCATATACTGCCCAGTGCAAAAGTTGGCAACCCTCGACTATGACGCAACTGGACAATTACTACGGAGACAATGGCCTCCACACTGTTTCCCTGACAGCCTGATAATCATGGTAGGTACGGATCTCTTTTAACTCCTGCAATACTTATCGTTTAAGGATTAAAAAGGAATTTTGCAATTTTTACATGACATGTCTGTTTTAGTTTAACTTGTGTAGAAACGAAATTACATTAGTTGAAAAGTGTTCATTTTCATTCTAAGATAAATCGACATATTCATGTAATCTGTGTAAAAGAGCATAATATCAAATCTTATCTTAATAAGGTAACGTTAAGGAAACTGTGTATTTACTTCTCTGTAACGATAAAAATAATACGAAACGAAGTAAGTTATTTTAGAATCATGCTACACTCCTAGACCACTCCAATCTTGGAGCTGACAAAGCTTAAGTAGGCATTTTATAGACAAGTGCGCTTCATCTCAGATCATATCTACGAAATATCAGATAATTTAAGGTCAGAAGCAAGTCTTCGGGTCATTTTAAAGCGCCATACGACAGATTTTAAGCGTCGTTAAGTCAAAGGTCGGGGAGACAGCTTGATAATATCTCCAAGAAAACTAGTCAAAACAGGGGAACGAATAGGTGTGATTGTCACTTCAATACTTGAAGATAAACAAATAAGCACACTAAACATGATATCACAATACTAGCGCGAATCGCAGTTACTTTGAACACAATCCAAAAAGGGAAACTCCTGTATATCCAGGAAAGAAGTTTGACCTCCAAAGCACCCCACCAAGGCTAAGTTATTCCCGAGGGAAATTGTCATTGGACCCGCAACGAAATTAATCAGAACATGATTGAAGAACTTCGAAGGTCCCTCCAATGCAACGGGAAAGTTGTCAAAAGTTATAAAATAAACGTGTAAGAAATATAATACACAACGGACAATAATAGAAGGCACCATATTCTTCAGTATATAAACAAATACGACCTGCTGACATCAACGAAGGATTGTCAATATCTCAAATCTCAATCTAGTGATGTAAATGATCTCTCCGATTTGAAATGTTATCATTGTACCCGTTCAACTACAATAAATGACAAAATGTAAAGCCTTCTTGAAACATGAATTGTAGGGAAATCTTGTTTTTGAGATGCGAAAGATACCGCTTGCCGCATGAGGGTTAATAACTATGATATGACGCAGGATAAGCTAGGTATTCTTCCCCATCAAAATAAAGGTCCACAGAAATGCCAGAACCTTGAAAATCCAGCTGGCACAGTTCGCTTCGCCCATTACGCGTAATAGCTGGCATCATAGTTTATTAGCGGTCATGACTTTTTTATGCAGTGGGTTCAAGTTTTACCTTGAATTACCTTGTTAGTTTTGATAGCAGAAGACACTACATCAAGTTTCTTAAGCCTTGTATCCTGAGAATGCTCAAGTGGATACAAAGCTTTAGATGCCTTATGTGTCTTATTGGACTTTCAGTAACAGAATCCTAGATAAAATTAAGTNACGAAACACCATCCAATAACTAACTTTGCCCGTACCTATCATATTCTGTTTGGCAAATTCGTTCCATCCTCGATCCTATCTAATGAAAAAGTTATCACCTCAAGAGCAAGTGAAGACATGCTGACAATCATTAGGAAAACATGCATTCTTTCTTATGATAATGTAGAACAGTGTACGTATAGAGCAAGAGCCCGTGACCTTCGTTATTTTATAAAAGCCGTTTGTCAGCGCACGCTCCCAACACAGGGAAGAACGATGGACCATCACGAAGGGTGATCTTGCGCTGACAAACATTCAGCTTTTATGAAATAACGAAGGTCTTCCTGTACATCTTGTTGGTTATCCTAAAATAAAATAAATCCTACCTGGAGTCAGATCCCCAGTGCATGGCATAGATCTTGGCGAGGTGACCGCGCAGCGTGCGCCGCGTGCGCATCTGGATGCGGCCGATTGGCTCCAGGTTGGCCGTGGCCTGCGCGAGCGACGTATCGCACGCCGCCTTGCGGGCGTCCTGCAACAAGGAGGTGCTTTTAGAGAAAAAGAAACACTGTTACATTGCAGAGGGTTCCAAACTAGGTTATGCCTGTTAAAGCCTGGTCCGTGAGCACGTAGAATTTTGTCCAATGACCCCAAGTTACCCATCCTTCTTACTCGCGCGTAATTATATTGCTGTCGCGACTGTGCGACGGGCGCCCGCAGTGAGTGTGCGAGCGCGACAGCAACATAATTACGCGCGAGCGATAAGGATGGGTAGCTTGGGGTCATTGAACAAAATTTTACGTGCTCACGGACCAGGCTTTACTTGTTAATAACTGTCGATTATAGTCGTGTGTATTAGAAAAAAAGTTACTTGTTGATCAATTACTTANGGTTGTACCTTACAAAACATAGATTGATAGGGTAGTGGACAGTCCACTGGACACCCTATTCGATTGATATCCCTTTTAGCTGTCAAAACGCGACTCTCATAGATTTTGTATGGCAATGGGGGCTATGATATTGGTCGCGAACTTAATTGACTGACCAGTTATTGATTATAAATCTTCTAATTATCTAATTTTACAGCCAATTTACAAGTAACTCACTTTTCAAGGATAGAATTAAGATTTTTTAGTACAGACGACGGCACGTCAACGTAAACACTGTGGCGTCTTATTTAGTCGTAATAGGTACGATTTTGCGATTTTACGAATAATAAGACGACCCGTTCCGTCACGCCAAGACCCACAGACAAATAAAATTGGTAGCATCAATTAATATTTCATTCGGCACATTGCAACGACTCAATCGCGACGCCCCATTGTGACAGCGGACATTTTCATAAATTAATATTGATGTTGCACCAATATTCGGTGCAATATAACTACATTGTGCCAAGTGCTAATGTGTAGTAATATAAGACAATAGAGTTTGAAAATCTTTCCAATACACCAATAAAATTATCTCAGGCTTCGCTTGAAAGAAAGAAACTTGCCTGTCTTTAGTGCCACATTTTAATTGTTAATTATTATGTAAGTTTTAAAATAATTGTTTCCCAAATAAGTAAATCTTATTTCTTTCCTAGACTGGTTACTGGCGAAGACTAAAGTGAATTTTAGTGACATCCAAAAGACTTTTTTTGATTCTTTTTGATTCCTTTCAAAAGTTTTGTTTTCGGCTTCACATCCAGATATCTCAAGGACGTAGAGTCTAAAATAAAGTCCCAATAATTAAAAAGGTCGTAAGTTACAAATATCGAGGCCTCAGACTGCCTGATTTAGAACTAGACTGATCTGAGTTACACTGAAAGGCTTTTAATAACTAGGTTAGTCTCAAATGGTGCTAAACTTAGTGTTCACTGTTTTAGAATTGATGCCTGATGGAAGAATAGTTCTGAAATCTAGGTGTCATCGTTTCTGACAGCAAAATACAATGTTAACTTTATTATGTACTAACTAGCTTTTGCCCGCGGCTTCACCCGCGTGAAATTTAGTCTGTCACAGATCGTCATAAATTATAGCCTATACTTATGTCATTCTAGGTTATAAACAATAGTACTGTAAAGTTTAATCAAAATCCGTTCAGTAGTTTTTGCGTGAAAGAGTAACAAACATCCTGACATCCAGACATCCAAACTTTCGCATTTATTTTTTTATTTTTTATTTATTTAATAGGACAACCAACAAGACATACACTGGAAGACAATCAATTTATAATATTAGTTATGTACTAATTTATTAATTTATCGAGCATTTTTCGTTATAGAGTCGAAGTTAAATGGAGACACTGTAGAGCGGATAGAAAACAAGGTAAAACCAACCAAAGTAAAGAAATTTCGACGCTTTATCGAGTTTGATGTTAAATCGAGTGACGTTATAAAGAGTTTGCACTGTATTGTACACTTGACGTAATTTCCTTGATGACATAATAGTAATATAATCTGACAATAAATTTAATATTCCAGCGTGGTGCTAGACAACATAACTGTCAGGGGAAACGGAACTTAGTAATTTTATGACAATAAACAATATTTTTCTTTACAACTTCCGCGTTACGATACACGATATACAATGCTTGTTTGTTGGCTTTCTAGTATTTTTAAATACTGTACCTATAATGTTTTTCTAAGTTATGCATGCAATTAAGGGGCAAGTTCCTAAAAATAGTACACAAGATGACTTAATAGCATAGGTGTTATTCCAGTTTCAAGACTAGCTCAGTCTCCTGTTTTAATGTATTTGAATTTAATAAGGTCTGATGAGGTAGCGTCTGCAGCTGTTCCATAGAAAAAGTTTTGGGTTCAACCAAAATTTCCGAATTCCCTGCCGGTATTTGTGTTTCCACACTACTGCAGGCTCCCCACTAGGTGGACCGACGATCTGGTGAAGGTCGCGGGAGGTGCCTGGATGCGAGCGGCGCAGGACCGCTCGTTGTGAAAATCTTTGGGGGAAGCCTATGTCCAGTAGTGGACGTCATTTGGCTGAAGCGAACGAACGAACAATGTTTCCAAATTCATTCTGACCGCTTCGCTCCATCCAGTCCATCCTAGATTATATCTAATGACCAAGAGCAAGTGAATACAGCTGCGATCCTACCTGGAGTCAGATCCCCAGTGCATGGCATAGATCTTGGCGAGGTGTCCGCGCAGCGTGCGCATCTGGATGAGGTCCCTATATCATATCCAACGTAAACGTTATCAAGTAAAATACAGCTTTGTTCCTACCTGGAGTCAGATCCCCAGTGCATGGCATAGATCTTGGCGAGGTGTCCGCGCAGCGTGCGCCGCGTGCGCATCTGGATGCGGCCGATTGGCTCCAGGTTGGCCGTGGCCTGCGCGAGCGACGTATCGCACGCCGCCTTGCGGGCGTCCTGCAACAAGGAGTTGCTTTAGGGGAAAAGAAACACTGTTACATTGCAGAGGATTCCAAACTAGGTTATGCCTGTTAAAGCCTGGTCCGTGAGCACGTAGAATTTTGTCCAATGACCCCAAGCTACCCATCCTTATTACTCGCGCGTAATTATATTGCTGTCGCGACTGTGCGACGGGCGCCCGCAGTGAGTGTGCGAGCGCGACAGCAACATAATTACGCGCGAGCGATAAAGATGGGTAGCTTGGGGTCATTGGACAAAATTCTACGTGCTCACGGACCAGGCTTTACTTGTTAATAACTGACGATTATAGTCGTGTGGTTCCGGCAAAGTAGGATAGGACCATTCTCTTACCGTGAATGTCGTAAGATACGACTAAGGATAATATGCGAACATCAGACCTCTCTGACCAGCCTGGTCAGAAATGGAGTTGATGGTGCCCACACTCAAGCTTCTAACTACACGCTTCGTGCGATAAAGAATTTAGTGCTTCGCTTTCGTGCGTTCGCCTGCTAAGAAACTGCTGCTTAGGTGGACCAACGATCTGATGAAGGTCGCGGGAAGTACCTGAATGCAGGCAGCGCAGGACCGGTCGTCGCAGAATTACTTGGGGGAGACCTTTGTCCAGCAGTGATCATCTTCTGGCTGAAATGCTAACCCGCAGGAACTGCTATCCTCCAAGATACTAAAGTCCGGTCGCCGAGCAGATAGAATTTCGTCCAATGACCCCAAGCTACCCATCCTTATCGCTCACGCGTAATTATATTGCTGTCACGATTGTCCGACGGGCGGCGGCAGTGAATTAGCTGAAAGTCACAAACATCTAAAAGCTGTTCTACTCACTCGTATGGCATTCTTGAGGGTCTCCGCCTCTTGGCGCAGGCTGTCCAGTTCATTCATGGTGCCCTGTGGAACCACTACACCCGGTGAGGAGCTAAACGCCTGATGTGGACCGCCTCGCGCCGCGTCCGCTTCCTACGCCACGCACCGACCTGTGGACAAGGAGTTACCATGATTAGAATGGTAATTAAGGACAAAATAAATACAAGAATTTAGGCGGTTATCACACTGCGCCGCGCTCGGCCGCGGAGCGCGGAACGACAGATTAATCATTGTATGAAAGTACCTCAGTTTGTATAGAAAACACGCGCGGCAATTCACACTGACAACGCGTCCGCGCGCGGGTTTTTTTATATGAAATCACGCGCTCCGCGGCGGAGCGTGGCGCAGTGTGATAACCGCCTTAGGGGGCTACTCCGACGTGGTCGCCCCAAGCAAACTGGCGGTGCTCAGTAGCAGACGAGGCGAAGACAGTCGGCAAGACTTGGAGCGAGATCAAACGCGAATCTCAAGACCGAACGCGATGGAGGACTGTTGTGGACGCCCTCTGCCCCATCTAGGGGACATAGGAGTTTAGGAGTCAAGTACTCCGACAGGACTACTCTCAGAAACGCTGTTAACGTAGTTTCAGGTCACCGTCGCTCATGCAGACATCTTGCTTTGCGTAAGAGGGATGGCAACATTACAAACTTCGGACAATATTTTTCAGAGTATCCCAGCTGGTTAAAAAATGCGGTTATTGATGCAAATATACGAGAACTACCCAGCAACCGCGCGATTATCCTGTGTCTATATCAGGTCAAAGGGTAAGAGTCCCCGCACACTACAAACTGTTTTGTCAGAGTATGAACATTATACGATTTGGTATGATTCAACTTAATGAATGGTTGAGAGGAGCCATTGGATCAGTACTTATCGCTTTATTAAACCCTCATCAGTTAAGATTAATTACCTAGTAAACAAACGTCGAAAAAAGAATGATGATGATGCTACAAACATATTTTTTTACGCATCATCAGACTCGATCAATCGCCTTTAATTGCAATCAATTAGAATGACAGTCATACTCATTACTTTAAAACGTACAAATAAGAAATAAAGTAGCAACATGATGAGGTAGAGCATGACTCATGGACAAAAACATTTTACTGGGTCAGAATCAAAGTGACCGTAACCCGAGTCAGCATGACTAAATAAGCGTGATCTATCACTTCACTTTATATGGATAATTATATTATAAAGATAACATCTTAAGGCCGGGTAGCAGAGAAAATGGCGAAAATGAGGTTTTCNTTTTGCTGCGGTAATGCACTCCAGGTAACCGTGTGTGATGCTTATTGCTCATAGTGATTTTCGATACAGAGCCCCGTACATACGTTATACATAAATTATGGAAAGAAAACACCCAGACCAATACAAACAAATATGTATGCAATTTTAGTATGATATTTTTATTTATTAATAAACAAAAAGACTGAACAAAATTGATGCGTTTACTGATTAATGTTATTAACCACATGCAAAGCTTTGTGAATTGCAACAACTATAATTTATTATCCAAGCTCTAAATAATCGCTACTACGAGTAACTGATCATAAAATGTTTTTCCAATCGCTCAAGCTCCCGAGGATCTACCGATAGGTCGGGTGACGTAATCTTGAAATTCTTTTAGCGCGGAACTTCCGGAAAGTCGGGTGACGCCACGCCTCTTTGAACCGTGTTTACTTTGGCAGATATATTCTATATTTATTCGATTCTAAAATATATTCCCAAAAATTTTGAAAGTTGTTTTAATTTGTATCACTTGGATATGATTTGTATTAGAAAGTGCTGTGAGTGTGACGCTTGAACGGAAGGAAGTCAACCTAACCTAACCAACTGCGTATTTCTATACTGTGTAGCCGCGAGAGCTCTTTGGCGCGCTGTCTTCGGCGAAGTATTGCGCGCGCAGATTTTGACAGCGCGAAATACCTACTTTAGCAGAAATACCAAGCCTTAATATAGTTAACTGTGCGCTGGCGCATCCAATTGATTGAGCTGTGAAGAGAGAATAACGCGACATGTTTTTATTTAAATGAGGCTTCCTACCAATAATACCTACTGCTGAAACACCTGTGTAGCCACGATAAACAGACCGATTGCCTCAAACTAAAGTAATGGCGTTTTTCTGGGAATGGAGGTTGCAAACAAGGAAAACTTTAAAAATAAACGGGAGATTGGGATGATCATGCCATAGGGTTCTGAGAATTTTATTTCTTATCACCTAAGTGTTTCAGGTACCATGATATTTTTGGAAAGCTGTAACTAGCTATAGACTCAATACGATCAGGTTTTTGTTGGAGCAGTAAAATTACAATACTTGCGAAGTCTTGGCACACCACTGACATAACTATAGTATTTTATGTCTTCTGTGAAACGCTTGTAAATCTTTCAAGCAGAAACACTTCGTTTACTCGTTAGTACATATTATTTGCCTATGAATGGTTTTACATATTTTCCAGTCGCTACGAATACAAAGCAATTTCAGTAGGTTGAGTCAAAAGTGATGGCGTTCGAGAAATCTGCGAGACGTCAAGCTAGGCACTGTGGCATCTTGTGTACTTGTAAATAGGTGCGATTTTCCAACAGAAATGTGACATTAGCAAAGTCCACCATGTTTTAATTAATTCATAGACACATAATTGTCCCAGATGGCATTTGGAACGCGCAGTTAAGTGTCTCACGGATGACGGACGGGTAACCTTTCACTAGTGGGGTATATTACCTTAAAGATTTCCATAACGACCAGTTCTGTACTGCCCACATTATCACTATCCTATACAGGACTATTCCCCTCTTGTTCCCACCCGCTGCAACTCCTGTGTAGCCAGGATCTACCGCCAATAAAAACCCAACCAAGAATTTTAAGTTTGAAATTTGAATTATCTATTCTATAGGATTGTTGTTATTCTCTGCCATAAGTTCAAGTGGTGTCATTTAAACAGGGAAAACTACGTGGTAATGATTCATTTGAGGCTGAATGCGACTTAAAGAAAATCCATTGAATTGGGTACCACTGCGTATTATGTGATTTTTGTTAAGCGTTGCTTTTGTAGTTAGGTAATATAATTAGTCACAGCGATATTTGTATCTTTTCCGCCTTGTGTCACGTGTCGGTGTTACGCCTAAACCACTGAACATAATTTAATATTGTCGAATTTTGGCATAGAGAAGACAAATTGAACCTCGAACTCATGTAAAAAAAAACTACACTAAGACTCAAGTTTAATGGAAACCTATAACTTTTCAAACTACTGATGTTTTAAATGCGTTTCAGAAAGTGTATCATAGTGATTAATTTTGTGATGACTGATTTAATCTAGAAGTCTTGAAATGAAAATATTAGAAACTTCTTTAACGTAAACAAACATACGTAACTAACTGAAATTGATAAGCCTTTTGCTGTCCCATAACGCGGGAAGAACGGGCAGCGCAAGATCCGATTGTTGTGGAAATCCTTAGGGGAGGCCTTTGTCCAGCAGTGGACATCATTTGGCTGAAAACGAACACACCCAGACTAATACAAAATATCACAAAATCAAGTAAGTACATAACAAGTTAAGTGTTTAGCTTGTCTCGTCCGCGCATGCCTTGGATGTCTACGATACATTCTTATTCAGATATGGTTTTTATCATTTGTTATCAGTGAACATGTGTCACGCAACTTTTCGCTCAATCTATTACAGGCTACAGCACGTGAAGAGAAAGTATTTGCTCAAACTCATGTAACATGTTCAAATTATCATATTTTATTTAACGTACAGTCAGCATATCAGACAGTACGTATTTCTGCAATATAGCACTTATTAATCACTACATAGATACCATAGTATTTAGTTAATTTGATGTGCTGTCGTCTGTACCTAATAGATAAAACATTCACAACTTTGTAACCAAGTTGAGTTCCTATGAGGTTAATAAACATTTGTCTATTAAACCATTTATTTATGTATTATTAATATTGACAAGTCAATCAAAATAAGAGAGATGAATGCCAAAATCAACAAACTATACAAACAAATAATGATTCATTTTAAGATTGTTTATTATAGCAGATGTTGTCTTCTTCTTCAAACCCAAAAATATAGATATTTGTCAGGAAGACACCGCCTGTACAGCGCTAGCTTGGATACACTTATGAGCAGTTCACTCTTGACCACACGCCCATCAGTTATTGATTGACCATTATTCCTATACTTGGGGATTTCCGCGGAATTACGTCGGTTCGCGAGTGGATACTCATGGTAGATGTAATTAAATTTTAATTATCATTGGTCACGCTATTTCTGGAGCGGACAAACTGCAACGCGAAAAAGGTTAACGATAAATGGCTACTAATTCGGTGAATTTGATGGAATCGATGAGTAAGAATGACTCAGCAAAATCAGCAGACGTTCCGTCGCCACAGTCTAAGGAGGAACTAATTTATCGGATTTGAGAAAATTAAAGCTTATTATAATTTAGCTACCAACCGGGTAACATAGAAAGCATTGAGGGAGTCCTATGTTCAGCAGTAGACGTCCTATGGCTGAGATGATGATGATGATGATGATGATGATGATAATTTAGCACGAGATGACTTCTCTCTCTCTTCTCTAAGCAACAAACAGTAACAAGAAGTTTTCCACAATGAAATGGATGAAAATAGACTTATTTCTCGGTACACATCACATATTATTATTTTACGATGGCCACAGCCAAGGATAGGAATTCCCAGCCCATCTGTTTCCCAACTCGTACAACTCCAAGCCACGAGTAAATACTGAATAGGCATCTGGACCGAGAGAGCTTCAGTCAATCAACATAGATGTACGATTCTATCTAGGGTAATGGAATATTAATAGTGGGACGTCCACCCACAAGGTGGACCGACGACCTAATAAAGGTAGCAGGAAGGCGCTGGATGCAGGCCGCTTCCAACCGTGCGATGTGGAAGTCATTGGGGGAGGCCTATGTTCAGCAGTGGACGTCTTGTGGCTGATATGATGATGATGATGATTAGAGATGCAGACGAAAATTAAAAATTAGTAGGGATTAGCTTCGTGGTGATGCACTCAACTAATAATAGAAGCTTCCTGAATCCCGATCCTGGACAAGAGACTGGGCCATAAGA